TCACTCCAGCCCTCACTTCAGTCCTCACTCCAGCCCTCACTCCAGCCCTCACTCCAGTCCTCACTCCAGTCCTCACTGCAGTCCTCACTGCAGTCCTCACTCCAGCCCCTCACTCCAGTCCTCACTCCAGCCCTCACTCCAGTCCTCACTCCAGCCCCTCACTCCAGTCCTCACTCCAGCCCTCACTCCAGCCCTCACTCCAGTCCTCACTCCAGTCCTCACTGCAGTCCTTACTCCAGTCCTCACTCCAGCCCTCACTCCAGTCCTCACTCCAGCCCTCACTCCAGTCCTCACTCCAGTCCTCCAGTCCAGTCCTCACTCCAGCCCTCACTGCAGTCCTCACTCCAGTCCTCACTCCAGTCCTCACTCCAGCCCTCACTCCAGTCCTCACTCCAGCCCTCACTCCAGTCCTCACTCCAGTCCTCCAGTCCAGTCCTCACTCCAGCCCTCACTCCAACCCCCTTAGGAAGACAGACAGTAGGGACCCCCTCAGGAAGGGCATAACTAGGAGGGCATGTGTGGGCTTGGCATGCAAGGACACTAGCTCGTGTATGTTGGAGTCTCTGAGGTGGGGCGGGGACCTTGTGAGATGTTTATGGCTTCAGAAGAGCGTCTGGCCTCCAGCTACTGGTTGAAAGCACACAGAGGAGGGTTCTAGGGAGCGGGGGATAAGCCACATCTAGATTCTCTGCCTTCCCAGTGCCATCCTTTACCTCAATGGGGACTTTGATGGAGGAAACTTTTACTTCACTGAACTAGACGCCAAGACTGTGACGGTAAGTGCTCCCACCGCCCTCATCCCTGGGGACAGAAACCCTGTTCTCTAAAGCTGATGTCCCCAGAGGACAGTACACAGAATACCACCTGCCTCTCCCCCAGCCCCATACCCTGTCCCCAGGCCACGGGCTTTGGGATATGGCAGCTCTCCTCTGACTGTCCTCTGGGTCCTGGTCCTAATTAGCCATTACTCTCCAGAGACCTTTTTCCATTTCCCCCTTTTCCTTGCCATAGGCAGAGGTGCAGCCCCAGTGTGGAAGGGCTGTGGGATTCTCTTCAGGCACTGAGAACCCACACGGAGTGAAGGCTGTCACCAGGGGGCAGCGCTGTGCCATCGCCCTTTGGTTCACACTGGATCCTCGACACAGTGAGCGAGTAAGAACTGTTGGGAGGACCCTTGTCTGTTTCCAAAAGGCTCTAGGTCCTTTCTCTGAGTCCTACTGCTGGTGGTTCAGTCATAAAGGAGTTGTGGACTAGGGACTCCCCACCTCAGTACCCTCACTGCAGGCACTGCTGCCTCACCCTCCCTGGACCTTCCTTTTCACAGGTAAGTGGGAGACCAGGGTAGAGGTAATGTGGACTCCTTGGTTCACTCCTTGGACCCTGCTCCAGCTACTAGAACTTAGGCCTGCTGGAAAGGAGGTGGCCCCTATAGCAGCATTGCCATTGTTTTTTTCTGGACGCAGCACCAACGGGGTGAGGGGCTTGCTGGGGGCTTGCTAAGAAGACAGTTTGCCATTGCAGGACAGGGTGCAGGCAGATGACCTGGTGAAGATGCTGTTCAGCCCAGAAGAGGTGGACTTCCCCCAGAAGCAGCCCCTGCATGACCAACAGGGCTCCCCAAAACCTGGAGAAGAGTCTCTGTCAGACAAAGAGTCTCAGCACAAAGATGAACTATGACAGCAGCTAGATCACACGTGGGTGTCATTGGACCCAAGGAACTCTGCCCTGCAGCCGGGACTTCCCCCCTACTCAGGGCTGCAGAGTGAGGGGCACTTTTGTCCGCTAACCGGCCAAAGGATCCTGCCCACAGCCTTCCCCATGGTGCTACTGTTCTTAGAGTGGGCGTGGCAGGACGCCACTCTTCTCTGGGCTTGGCTGAAGGCTCAGGATGCAGGCCCAGAACCACCCTGCAGCCTGTATAGGCAGCTGCCTAACAGCAGCATGATATTTAAGTGTCTGTATAGACAACCAAAGAATAAATGACTCGTGTTTTTCATTTAGTGGTTTGTTCCAAGAGAGGAAATGTTTCCATTCTACCACAGAAGCCATGTTTGGTAGCAGTTACTCTGGCAGTATGTATGGCCCGTGCCATACAGGAAGGCCTGGCCCAGGACCCAGCTGGGTCACTTCCTGTGCAGCCTCAGACCAGATGCTTAACCTGGGTACCCCAGGCTATTACCACAGAAGGGGCATCTTGGTCCTCACTGTCCACCTGGGGAAGCCGTGTGACCCAGACACAGCACCCAGTGTGACAGTACTTCATAAACTTTAAAGCTGAGGCCAAAGCATCCAGACTGATGCTAACCCTTTCCTGGCAGAGAGCAGCAGTGAGCAGTGCTCTGGCATGTTACCCTCGGGCAGCCCCATGCTTCCTGCTCTGCTGGCCTCAGAGCCTGTACCTGAGAGCCTCATGTGCAGGATGATGCCCTGAGAGACCAAAAGCACGAGCTGGAGACTCAGCTCCTCTGGCCACATAGCTGGCACCAAGCCCACCACCTTCCCCATGCCTGAGATGCCACAGGACAGAGTGTGGGAACCTGTATCTGAGCTGTCATTAGTCAGACAATATTTATTTAGTGAGTATCAGCCTGGTGCTAGGAATACAAGAGGGAGCAAAGCAAGCCTGATCCTCACAGAACTGTGTTGTATAGGGGATGCATAATAAATGTGTAACTATCATAAGTGTGGTTTGTATATCCTAAGCCTTTGATATAGAAAGTCATGTTAGGGCCCCAAGGCAGAAGAAACAGCAAGGAGGTTGATGAGGGGCAGGACATATGACTCAGCAGGTAAGAGCCTTTGCTAGTCTTTGCTTCCGAGTACCATATCAGGTGTCTTATAGCCATCTGTAACTCCAGCTCTAGGGAATCTGATGCCCTCTTCCAGCACCAGCACAACATGGTGAACACACACACAAATGAAAACAAATCTAAAGCTAATGCGGGGCCAGAGGACCAGGAAGGGAAGGGTAGATGTCAGATGCTAAAGGCCCCAGTAGCGTTTGAGCTTGATGCATCGGAATGTGACAAACAAACTTTCCTTGGGCGACACATGGAGAATAAGCTGTTGGGACAGGGGCTGATGAATGATCAGAGGGAGAGGAGGAGGCCTGGACCAGGACCAAGCAGTAGAAGTAATGAAGACCAGGCTAGCATCGGTTCCCTGCAGTGCCAACAGGGGGTGCTGAGGGGTTGTCAGGAGGTATGAGCAGAAGGATTTGGAGTTAAGCCACTAGCTGAGGTGAGGAGGGGACAGTGTACTGTTGGAGGAAAGTGAGATGTGGCCAGCAGGAACCTGGGTTGGTGTGCTAAGGGTGAGTTTGGGCATGTAACTGGTGTGTGAAGCTGGGAGAGGTACACAGGGAAGTCACAGACAGGTCATCTAGAAGTAATGAGGACAATAGCGAGAGAGACGTGTCCTGGCCCCCACGAGGGCATTTCAAGAATAAAGAGAGTAGTGTGGGGGGCCAGTGAAGTCCTGAGTGAATATGCATCATTGGCATGAGTGTGGCTGTGTCAAAGACCCCAATGCCTCAGACTCTGGGAATGGCAAGGCCTTCCCCTCTTCTGAGTACAGATGTACAGATCAAGGTAGTGGTGACAAATGGTATCCAAAAGCTGAGCAAGATGAGAACTGGAATCCTGGTGTGATGGTGCTTGTCTGTAAACACAGAGATGGAGACAGGAGGATCAGAGTTCAGGGCCAGACTTGACTACATAGTGAGTTTGAGGCCTCTGCTTCCCAAGGGCTGGGATTAAAGGTGTGTGCCACCACTGCCTGGCTGACTTTTACAGTTTCTTTTTTCTTTCTTTTTTTTTTTTTTTTCGAGACAGGGTTTCTCTGTATTGTTTTGGAGGCTGTCGGACAGTCCAGCCTGGCCTCGAACTCCCAGAGATCCGCCCGCCTCTGCCTCCCGAGTGCTGGGATTAAAGGCGTGCGCCACCACTGCCCGGCTACTTTTACAGTGTCAATGCATGCTAACTACATACTGACAGCAGACTGCCTTTTTTGAACTCAAAAAGGCTATTTCCAGTGGCAGCAGAACTAAGGTAAATGCATGTAACTAGGCTAGGGAGGCTCACCCAGAAGCAGTGGGTGATGGCAGGGTCCCAGCTGAGGTCTGACCTGCGTGCTTGGTCTGTGTTAGGGAAGCACGTAGAATAAATAGCAGGTCAGCAACATGAAGATGCTTGCTGGGATGGAGGCAGCCTGTGGGGGTGTCGCAGGCATAAGGAACAACTCAGCAAACCCAGGGAAGGTATGAGCATGACACTCATTGGTCTCTGGCGTCTAGGGAAGCTACAGAGCTGGGGTAGAGGGCACCAGAGATCTGTACCCGGCACCGTTCCCAAGGAGTGAAGACACCATTAGACTGCCCACGCACTACAAGGTGTCCTTGCCCTAGTTAGACAGTGAACTACCTGAGACTCCTAGTGCAGCCTCAAGCTGCTTATGGGCCTTAGGAAGGAGGAAACAGTGTACCAACTGCAGACGGTGGGAACATGCAGAGGATTGTGGGATTCCAGTTTGGCTGCTCAACTATGCAGAGCAGCCAAGGGTGGAACATGGTTGGCTGTCCTCCTTTCTTACTGTGTGGCCCAAGGTGAGTCATTTCTGTCCAGAGCCTGTGACTGTTCAGGGAACTTAACCCAGTTGGGGGTGGTAAGGCTGGTACCACTTCTGAGCCTCCAATTTCCCATGGCAGCTACAAGGAAAATAGATTACAACCAACTGAATCAGACCCTCTTAACCAGCCTTAGGACAGTGGACCAGCCCCTGGTATTTCATTACAAGAGAGGAAAAAACAATGAACCTTCATACCAGCCCATCAATGATCAACGCATGCCTACCAAGGCCGCCCTCAGCTGGGCACAGCAGTGAAAGAGGTGGCAGCCGGTTCCCAGCTTTTTTTTTTTTTTTTTTTTTGGTTTTTCGAGACAGGGTTTCTCTGTGGCTTTGGAGGCTGTCCTGGAACTAGCTCTTGTAGACCAGGCTGGTCTCGAACTCACAGAGATTCGCATGCCTCTGCCTCCAGAGTGCTGGGATTAAAGGCGTGCACCACCAACGGCCAGCTTGTCTGGCCTTTTCAATAGCCTGTGTATAGTAGCTACCAGTACAGTCCCTCTGCCTCCCCTAAGCCTCATCCCAGCTTGCCACAACAGTGTTCCTTTAGGGACAAAGACATGGAGGCTACACAGTTGTCTTCATTAGTAGGGAGCATCTTATGCCCCCTCCCTATCTGACTGAATGCCTCCCTCCACAGTTCAGAAAGGTAAAGACATGGGGAGAAGCCACAGAACCCAGCACCACACACATCCCAGTTACCTGCCTACCTGGAAGACCTCCTTAAGGTTACCGGGGTCTCACTGCTCTCCAGGGATCTTTTGCTTATATCTCCTGCCCCACTCCAGGCTCTGGTAATCACTCCCCACCTCCTTATTTTAATTCTATTGTTTTGTTATGCATGGCAGAAAAATTTTGAAATCGGAACCATCTTCTCTGTTACCATTCTGGACCTCATTGGTATTTTGGGATTGGCAGGCTACCCCAAGAAGCAGATCCTGTGTACACAGGAAGTCAGAGGGACCCAGTGTGTGCCACTGTCTACCAAACAGCACTCACCCCTTGCCCAGCTTCCCCCAGGCCCTCCTAGCTTGGAGCTGCAGGCCATACCAGGGCCCACGCCCTGACTGGGCACACAGGCTTGCCATTGTCTGACCGTGCCAGGCACCCACGTGAAGAATGCAAGGCAGCAGGCTGCGGGTTTGTCCCTGCAGTGGGGGCTGAGCCTGTGGGGGAGGAAGCTGGCCATTTGCAGCTCTGGAAAGGCAGTGGGGTGCAGGGGATGCAGGGAGGAGGCGGTGGGGAGGCTGGCTGAAGTGGGAGCAGGGGTGTGACATTTTTCCTGCACCCATGCCAAGCCTGTGGGGCTGAAATGAACGTGAGAAGATTGCTAATGAGACCCAGGGGAGTTAAACATTCCCTGTTCCTGAGGGCTGAGTGAGAAGGGGCAGACAGGGGTCTAGGAGGGGGCAACCTGAACCCAGGAATGTGCAGAGGCCACTGCCCCTGCCAGGCTGTTCTGGAGCTAGGGGCCCCGGCTGCTGTCTCAGGTCTCAGCAGGAGCTGCTGAGGCAGCCAGCAAAGGGATTAACTGGCTGAGCAGTTCTCCTTCCTCCAGGCCCATGTCAGGTCTCCCCGGCTTCCCACCACATCTGAGGTTGGCCTGCCTGCAGCCACTGCTGGCCCAGTAACTGTGGGGTTCCTCTTTTGATTCCTCAGATCCCAAACAGACGCTACAGCATGTGTCCCCTGGTTTTAGACCAAACACATGGCTTCCAGGTACCCAGGACTCTTCTCCCCAACACCTCAGCTCTCGCCTAGTCTCTGCCTCAGAGCCCCTACCAAAAACTAACTCTAGGGGTATAGCTCAGTGGTAGAGTGCTTGCCTCACATGTGCAAGGCCTGGTTTCCATACCCAGCACATGCAGGCACACACACACGCACACACACACACACACACACACACACACACACAGGCACACACACACATACACACGCAGGCGCACGCGCCTCTATTTTTTCCTACTGTAACTAGAATCTCTTTCCTTTTCCCCCTTTCCATCCTCAAGCGAGTGGCAAGAAACCCCAGGTTCATGTCAGGGATGAAAGCCCAGCAACTATCCATTGAGCTGGAGCCTGCAGTAGGGATTAGAAGAAGTCTCACTGGAATCACACTCCTGAAGGGGTTTCCCTGGTTGGAAAGGACTTGAGAGGGAAGAGTCAACTCCTCTGAGCCCCTCCCTTCCTTGTTCTTAAGGCAGGGAGGGCTAGGTACCCCCACCTTGTGCTCTAGGTCCCCGCCCTCCATCCCCAAGAAGCTGGGCAAGAGCTCAGCCAGGGACTGGCTGTGGGCGGGTTTTGGCCCTTTCCAGCCCCTGGGCCGCCCCCCTGCATTCTGGAATCCAGCAGCCACTGCCTTTGCTGACCTGACTCTGTGGCTGGCCAGCCAGCCATCCCCTCTCCTACCCTCCTCTTGTGCAACTTAGCTCCCCTGTTCCAGCTGTTCCTCTGACCATGACCACAGCGCTCCCCAAGACCCCGGCCCATCTCTGAGCCCTGGAACACTCAGACTCCTCCCTAGGCCATGGCCAACTCAGGCCTCCAGCTCCTGGGTTACTTCCTAGCCCTGGGTGGCTGGATAGGCATCATCGCCAGCACTGCCCTGCCACAGTGGAAGCAGTCCTCCTATGCAGGCGATGCCATCATCACTGCCGTGGGCCTCTACGAAGGGCTGTGGATGTCTTGCGCCTCTCAGAGCACCGGGCAGGTCCAATGCAAGCTCTATGATTCGCTTCTGGCCTTGGACGGTAGGCTTCAGGCGGGAGCCTGGGAGGGGGCTGGGGAGGTCTACTGCACGCTTTCTCACAGCCTGCCCTCAGCACTGGCCAGGCAGCACGCTCCAGCCCCTGTGTGATTCCCTAACTGCCATCCTGTGTATACTGGAGAGGCCAGGCCAGCCAGGGCTCTGGGCTCTGGGGGAGGCATGAGCAGCACAAGAGGCTGGCAGTCTGGGCTCCCTGTCCTGACACCGTAACCTCACTGCTCACCCAACCCTTTGCACTCTGATGTTCTGTGTAACCGGGGCACTAATACATAGGACATGGGAGGGTGGACTGAGATGAGGGTCTGGCTCCTTACGCCTGTTAACACCATCTGCTTCTCTTCTCTCCATATTCTACATTGACAGACCCATGAACACACACAGGCGTATACACCTCACACAGACACAAACACTAGAACACACCCATGCACAAGTACACACACACACACACACACACACACACACACACACACACACCCCTGCTCCTGGGACGTGGCGTTTCAACCGTCAAACTGGTTTACAGACACCATTACAGCTCTGACCTTGACGGGGCCTCCCACCTGCACTCCAACAGGCACCTGAGCAGAACAGCCACCTGTCAGCCCCTCTGCACACTGATCCGGGCAGATCACCAGCCTCCCTCAGGGACCCAAGTCTCCTGAGCTGTCTGCAGCCTAGAACTGACCAGCACACTCAGAGAAACAAGCGTCCGGCTCCATGGGTGATTGACAGGGCTGCTGCTGGTGACTAAGCCTGACACACTCTCAGCTCTTTCTCTGGCAATCCTGAGCAGCACCCAGCCCTATCTCCTGCTTCTTGATGGTACACCAGGTCTGAAACAAAGCAGCAGAAGAGTGAACTCAAACTATCCCATCACTCAGCACCATTCAGAGGAGCCGGCAAGGGCCCCTGGGAAATCACCCCCACACCCTGTTCTCATACACTCACTGTCTCTTCTCACAAGCAGAGAGGTCAGACCTCTTTGGACCTCTACTCAAGCCCCTCCACACTGGGCTCCTCCCATCCTGGTCCAGCTCCTCCATTTTGCCACGCCCTGTGAGCCCCCCACTCCTGCTCAGTACTTTCTCCCTCTCCCAGGCCATATCCAGGCAGCGAGAGCCCTGATGGTAACGGCAGTGCTCCTGGGCTTTCTGGCCATGGTGCTCAGTGTCGTGGGCATGAAGTGTACTCGGGTCGGAGACAGTAACCCCATCGCTAAGGGCCGTGTGGCCATCTCTGGGGGTGCCCTCTTCCTCTTGGCGGGTGAGTGTCCTGCCTCCTCTCCCCTCTTGCCCATGCAGCTAGCCCACCTCTGGGCGAGGCAGAGCTGAGCACCCCTACTTGGTTCTTAGGTCTCTGTACATTGACTGCTGTCTCATGGTATGCTACCCTGGTGACCCAGGAATTCTTCAACCCCAGCACACCTGTCAATGCCAGGTGAGTGCCAGAGCTGGGCCTCCTTCTTATCCGTCCTTCCCTGGCCACAGTTGTCACTTGGGAGAGGAAATAGGGAGTGGGCCCCGGCTAGTTTCTCACAAAAGAGAGCCACATAGGGTATGACTAGGCCCTTGGGAGGGACAGGAGACCTGATGAGAGCATCTTGGTGCAGCCAGGCCCCCGAGGAGCCCAGTGCCCTAGCTCTGGGTCTGAAGTCTAGCTTTATGTACTTGCCAGGTAACTTAGGTCACTTGTGACTTAACCTTTTCATGCCAGAACCAGCTCTTCTGCGGTTCGGAGGATCCAAGAGGTGATGAGGAAAGAGATTTTGTCCAGAGCTCAGTACAGCTGGTGGCAGAGGTCAAGATGGCTTCCTGGAGGAGGCAGTAGAAGGGGGGGCGCTGGTAACATGAGACTGGAGAAAATGGGTAGCTAAGGCAAGACCCAGCAGCTAAGAGGAGAATCTGCTCCTCACTCTGGGTGAGGCTGCAGCTGCCCTCTGCTGTGTGAGAAGCAGCAGTGGGGAGGCCGGCACAGTGGAGCAGCTGTTGCCTTTGCCTCCAGCAGAGGGCTTTGGGTGAGGGAGGTAGTAGCGAGAAGCAGGCCACATATGTTGGAGCTAATTTGGTCTGAATTTGTAGAGTTAAAGGCTGGGGGTGGGGGACAACCTTTTGGAAGGGCCTGAGTGTACCTGGTTCTTCTTCTTAGCCCAGCCAGGAGCAAAGACTGATAGTTCCCGGTCCAGTTATCCTGCCGACTCTGGGGTAGAGGGGGATGAAGGGATGCTTGGGCTGTCTCTATGGGAAGGCTCCATGGAGAAGACGGAGGAGGAGAATTAAGACAAGAGAGTTATGCTCTGGGTGAGCGGCTACAGCACAAAGACCTGCCATGCAAGGTGTAACCCAAAGAGCCAAGCTGGGACTAGGACTTCAGGACTCCTGGGCTGCCTGGGTTGGGTCCTGAGAACACAGTTACACCTCTGTCTGCCCTACAGGACCCTTCTGGTGGGGGTGGGGGTGATGAGAGGTGAAGGGGAACAACAGGACAAGTCCCCTAGTCAGGAAGTTCCATACAATCTGGGTCCTGAAGGTAGAGAAGGGGCTGGGAAGGTGTTCTAGGTGGGGAAGACCTGTACCAAGGCACAGAGGTGGGAAAGCTGGATGAGGAGAGCCCAGAGGGCCAGGCAGGAGAGGAACAACCTCCAGAGGGCAGTGACGAGCTGCCCTAGCTGGACGCTGGTTCGTAGACCGTACCATGACTGGGAAAGGAGACAGCAGACTGTTCCATTGCTTCCAGTCGGATCTCTGCATTCATCCCTCCACCAGCCAGATGAGGGAATGAGCCCAAGCTGCCCCTCCAGACTTGAGCTGTGTGGTGGGGACATGCTAGTGGGGAGGGAGGCAGGGCGAGCCCTCACCCTAGGTCATTTGCAAAGGAGGAAGCCTGTAAATTCCTTGTGTGTTATCTTCCTTGTACCAGGTGCTGGTTGCAGGGCAGGACCCCGAAGGGGGTTGGGGCCAGGCAGGCAGGGCTGGGGTTTGCAGTCTGATATAGTCCTCCCTTCCCTTACAGGTATGAATTTGGCCCAGCTCTGTTCGTCGGCTGGGCCTCTGCTGGCCTGGCCATGCTGGGGGGCTCCTTTCTTTGCTGCACATGCCCAGAGCCTGAGAGAGCCAACAGCATCCCACAGCCCTACCGCTCCGGACCCTCAACGGCTGCCCGAGAGTACGTCTGAGTCTACCTGCCCTGCCCTGCCCTGCCCAGACATCTGTCCAGCAACTCTCCTGCCCAGAACTCCAGCCAGATGACATGATATCAACTCTGGGCAAGGGTAGATAGGGTACAGATTCCTTGAACTCAGTCTGGAGTTCCAAGCATCTGGTCCTCAACACAGACTCTGAGTCCCAGACTCAAGACACTCAGAGATCAGAAACAAGACCCAGCCAACACGTGTCACCCAGTAAGACCCAGATCTGCTCTGTCTACACTAGAGTGAGTACACAGGGCCTTAGACACTAGCTTAGTCACCAGCTCCTTCGCCAGCCCACTTACTCAGCGAAGGGGCCGGCTGCCTACTATATGCTGGGCCCTGAGGATCTCACAGCAACAGAAGGATCTCAGTGCATTGGGTCAGAGAGCCCTTCATGCTCCATCTAGTCGCTACTCACAGCAACCATATAGAGAAAATTCTCAAGGCTAAGGACTGTCCCCTACATCACACACAAGGACACCGAGCTTCAGAGAGACCTGGAAGTGTGACTCTCCTGTCAGCCAGGGCAGGTCTCAGGCTCCAGCAGTTAATTGCCCAACACTACGAGGTCAGACTGTCTCACTGTCATCCCCAGGACTGGGCCCCAGGCAGGGCTGACGCCACAGCCCTGTCTCCTTCATCTCTGTTCATGCCACTAACCAGCCTTTTCTCTTTTGACTTGCAGACCTGTTGTTAAAATGCCCGCCTCCATCAAGGGCCCCCTGGGTGTGTAAAGTCCGGGTTCCCAGCCAGGCCCTCCCCACTACCACATCTAGACTGTGTGTTTGGTATCTTTTGGAAAGAAAAGTGAACATTCAGTCCCAAGTGTGATGTCATCCTATCTGTTCCCACGAGCCTAGGGTGGGGCCTGGACTAGAGAGGTCGGAGCCAACTCCTAGTGCTATTGAGGTGGATTCCAGAACACAGTCAGAGCAAGCAGGAAGCACTTAGGCGTCCTGCTCTGTGTCTCTGCCTGCCTTGCCTTGGAGTTTGGTACCAGGGTCCGCAGGAGGGGAAACCACAGCTTCTCCTAGAGGCCACCTAAAGCCTGGCCTAGTAAGGGTGAGGGATACCCTGGCATGGAGACCCTCCCATAGGTAGAATGTTCTAGACCCCCCTTGGGAGCCCTCTTGAGGAAAAAGACAGTCTCTGTAAGGCCCAACTAGGGACTGGGTCACAGCCAAGTGAGGGGACACTATAGGAGCTCCCTCATTGAAGAAGGGGATGGAGAGGGACATCACATCAGGACTGTCCTGTGCCAACTCCAAAGCCCTCAGCTCTCACCCTAATCCTACAGTGACTGTCACAGCTTCTTTGTCCTGAAGTGCAACCAGGGGACAGGGCTTTGGGTCCTGAAGCCCGGGTATGACCTTCTAGAAAAGGTAAAGTCCAGCAGTGTCTTTCACCCTCAGTGCCCCCAACCAGAGTGTGCCGGTCCCTGCCTTCCCTCTCAGGCTTCTGCCACTCAACTCTCTCCCTGGACTCCAGTCTGTCCCTTCCTGGGAAGAGGCGTCCACCATTAGCCTTCTGCTGCTTCCCGCAGCTTCCTAGCTAGCCAGCTAGCACCGGCTTCTTCCACTTCTAGTCCGTGACCATATCTCCTCAGAGCCTTGCTCAGCTTCTTGTTCAAGACTGACTGCAACCTTGAGGTGAAGAGACCAAAACACTACATCGGACAGAGTGGGAGGAGGGAAGCAGGTGCTGTGGTCAGATAATGACGTCATACCCCCCAAACTGCTGATCAATTAATCTTCTGATTGATGGTAACCATCAGCCCCCATGGCTGCCTCTGATCCTAAACAAGTTTCCCCAGTGAGGCCCCTTGGGCTGTGAGGTCCACAAGAGAGTCCTCTCTGGGTACCTGAAGCCATCAGGTGGCTCCTGGCCTTCAGTGCACATTGGAGTCACTTAGAAGTGGATGCCAAGTCTCCACCCAGACAAGCGTTGACGTGGTAGACCCTGGCACCAGAATCCATGCAGTTCCTTTGCAGTGTGTAGTTCACACTAGGGGTACCTCCTTGAGGCCTACACTCAGACCCTCTGAGTGATCTGGAGAAGGCGGAAGGAGCCTACCAGAAGACCGTGGGGGAGAGGCAAGACTAGGAAGGAAATCTCATCCACCTCCTGCCTTTCCGGAGTCCAGACCCCTGGAGGAGACGCCCACATCCTTCCCATCAATGTTCCTTTGTGCTTAATGATTTTGACTTTGAATCCTGTCACATGCAACCCGACTAACACAGAGTTTGAAATCTATGAACCAAGTGCGACACAGATGTCCCCTCCCCAGGTCTGGTATTCAGCAGCCCTTGGTGTTTTGTTGTGACGTTGTCAGGAAGCTTTGTGTCCCCTTTTAAGAGTCTAAGGGCTAAGAGGCTCAAGACCTGGTGGGGGAATGTGAAGGCAGACTGTGCAGGCTACAAGTGGGAGTTGTCGTCGGGGCAGGCTGTGAGAGAAGAGAGCTCCGTGCAAGGACGGGACCTGGCAGTGGAGTGGCATTACCTGTCCCTCCATTAAAGGAAGCCATTCTGCCAGACTGGGGCCTGCAAGGGCAGAGGGTCACACACCTTAATGAGTTACGCAAACAGTTTATACACCGATTGAAACCGTGAGGTACTGGGGGTGGGCAGGAAGTGTGTGGGAGAAACGGAAGGAGTTTAAAGCTAAAAGTTTAGGGAATGAGATCGCCCAGGCATCCCCTGAAGCGACCCCATTCAAATGTCTACACTAAGGCCAGAGGCTTTGTGTCCAGTCTGCTGTTTACTGTTCTGATCTCCAGGCTGATGGATCCGGCAGAGATTGGGGAAGAAGAACTCGGATACAAAAGGGGTGGTTCAAAGCTGCTGCCATGTGTGTTAGTAAACAGAGTCCGAGAAGTTAAATTGGCAAGTTATACATTTAAGGGCCATACCTATGCATTTGGTTCCTGAAGTTCCAGATCCTGGGAGAACAGATCAGGAAATTATAGGCTGAGAAGTCTGACAGATGGCTACGAGACAATTTCAAAACATTATTTTTTTGCCACACAGTACTATCCCTTTGTGTGACAATGACACTGAGGATTTTTTTTCCTTATCTGGTAGAGCTAAAACTGAAACAATGGCTGGATCTGCTTTAACGTCTCTTAGAACAAGTTCAACGGCAAGGAAAGCTATGGCATTGGGAAGTGCCATCCCCTGACAGGGTCCACTCTACCCCTCTCTTTGTATGTTTGCTAATGAAACCAAATAAGAAATAAAAAGTTTGAAAAGACCTCCAGGGTTTGCTGGCTGCATCCGTCACCATCCTCGCCCTGAACAAGGAATAAAGCCATTCCGTACCAAAGTCTCACAGCTCCTCAGACTCCTTCATTGTGTCGCCTGAACTGTTGGGCTGGCCACTCACCATCCTACCCAGGCCTCCCCATAGCATTTTGACAAGACCTCCATGTTGGTGACAGCACGTTGAAGTTAAGAAATTCTGAAGCATGCTCATGGGAGCTGTGGGGTTCTTTTTCTGTTTCTTGGGTTTGTTTTTGTTTGGTTTGGCTTTTTTTTTTTTTTTTTTTTTTTGGTTTTTCGAGACAGGGTTTCTCTGTGGCTTTGGAGGCTGTCCTGGAACTAGCTCTTGTAGACCAGGCTGGCCTCGAACTCACAGAGATCCGCCTGCCTCTGCCTCCCAAGTGCTGGGATTAAAGGCGTGCGCCACCAACGCCGGGCTTTTTTTTTTTTTTTTTTTTTTTTTTGCTTTTTGAGATAGGATTTCTGTGGGTAGCCCAGGCTGTCCTGGAACTAGCTCTGTAGTCTGGGCTGACCTTGAACTCACAGAGATCCACCTGACTCTGCCTCTTGAGTGCTGGAAATAAAGGCATGTGCCATCACTACCCCGCAAGGTTCTTCCTTCTTAAGATAGGAATTCTCTGCATCCTTTGCTTGTTAGGATAGTGAATCCTGTTTTGATTTTGTTTGGAAAATTTGTCATTCTGAGATAGGGTCCCACTATGTGGCCCTGCCTAGCCTGGAACCTACACTGTAGACCAGGTTGGCCTCAAACTCACAGATTTACCTCCTCTCTCCCGAGTGCCCAGCAAATTAAAAAAAAAAAAGTTTTGTCAGGCATTGGTAGAGCATGTCTTTAATCCCAGCACTTAGGAGGCAGAGGCAGGTGGATCTCTGTGAGTTCCAGGCCAGCCTGGTCTACAGAGTGAGTTCCAGGACAGCCTCCAAAACAATACAGAGAAACCCTGTCTTGAAAAACCAAAAAAAAAAGTTTTTATTTTTATTTGTGTGTATGTGTTTGTATGGATGCATGCCATGTGAGTGGCATGCACAGAGTCTGGAAGAGGGCGGGGTGCTAGAACCCCTGGAACTGGAGTTACAGGTGGTTGTGGACCAGGTGAAGTGGATGCTAGGAACTGAACTTGGGTCCTCTGAAAGCAGCAGTCAGCACTCTTAACCACTGAATCATTCCTTTAACTCAACAAAATTTTATTTTGAGACTGGATCCAAAAATTTGTAATTATCCTGACTGCGCCTCCTGAGTGCTGTGATTTCAGGCATTGCGTGCGACTATGCCTGCTTTATGTAGGGCTAGGGACTAGGGACAAGACTTAGGCTTTGTGCATGCTAGATAAGCACTCTGTCATCTCAGCTGCACCCCACCTTCTCCACAGGAATTTTTAGCATTTAGAATTTTAACTGTTTCTGTGCAGAATGGCTTTGGGATTTTGGTGGGGATTGTAATGAATCTGTTGATTGCTCTTGATAAGACAGCCATCTTCTTTTAATGTTTCCAATCCAGAGCACAGGGAAATCTAGTGTCTTTGTTTTGTCTCTTGTGTTTTAAAGTTTTTATTAGGCAAGCCTTCCAGTTCTTTGGTTAGGTTTCTTCTTCGGTTGTTTTCTTTAAGCTATGGTGAGCGGAACTGTTTTCCTGATTTCTTTTTCCATATGCTTATGTTTACTTGTATACAGGAAAGCTACTGCTTATTGTTGGTTGATTTTGTATCCTGCTACTTTGATAGTTCTGAGAGTTTCTTGGTGGAGTCATTAGGGTCTCTTTGTTTCAGCCCAAATGATACTTCTCTGAAACAATCTTCCTACCTCAGGGTGAAAGGTTAGTTCAGTCTGTGGCCTTCTGCAGTCTTTTAGTGAGCTAACTTTATCCTCAACTGTGTTTAGTCAGCCTTTAAACCTGTCTATTGATTTTTCCTTGGGCATTGTATTTTTCTGGTCACAGATAGCCAGCTGATTTGTTTCTCTGCAGGTCCTTGTTACACGCTGAGTTACGGAGGATGAAGACTTAGTGTGTGCGTCAGGATGGCCTACAAGTGCAGTGCTGCTCACACACTTCCCATTTTCTAGCTCTCTCTTCCTACTAGGGATGTGTTGCACAGTGGCTTTATCTTCAGACATTTGGCATCTGGATTCCACGGCTCCCTTTCCTGCTGGGCCTAGCTCATGTCTTTTTCTCTTAGGTTATATGGTGATGTTTGTATGTATCTTAACCAGGGCGGTATCTGGCATTTGAAAACACATTCACAGTGACAATGTAAACCTAGCACAATAGTGTTTTCTTTTGGTAACTTGCATTAGATAGATGCCTGAAGGCATGAGCAATCTAGGAACACCTTTATTTCAAGACTAGTTCTTTAGACCCTCAGGCCCTTGAATGACACTTTGTGAATGTCAGCTTAAATGACTGCCATGGACTGTTCATGGAGGTCCCTAACTGGAAGCAGAGGATAGTTTACAAGGCTTGCCCCATTTGGTGAGGCTGTCTGGATTTTTCCCCTCCTCCAGGTCAATATTCAGGGCTCTCAATGGCCTCTGAGAGATGAACAGCGCGTCTAAGGTGAGAGCAATCCTGAGCCTCAGGGTCAGTTCCCTATTTCACCACCACGTTTTTGAAAACTGATGAGTATTTGCATTCACAAAGATCACATACATGCATACCTACACACCCATGCACGCGCACACACACATACACACACACTGAGATTTGGGACACATAGCAAGTTGCAGGACTGCCTAGGCTACAGAGTGAGACACAAACAAATGAACAATGTCGGGCAGGGGTGGGGAGGTGGGGGGTGTGCATGCTAGTGATTCCAGCTCGTGGGAGGCAGAAGCAGAAAGATCAGAAGTTCAAGACCAGCTTCTAGCCTCCTCTGCTACACAGTGCTACACAGGCCACCTGGGATCCATGAGACCCTGGCTCAAAATAACAGCCACCACACACAAAAGCAGAAGGAGGAAGAGAAAATTGGCTGGAGAGATGGTTCAGCAGTTTAGAGCACTTATTGTTCTTGCTGAGAATCCAGGTTTAGTCCCATCACCCACATGGTGGTTCACAATCATCTGTAACTACAGTTGCAGGGTGTCTGATACCTTCTTCTGACAGGAAGCAGGCACACACACACACGACGCACATACATACTTGTAGTCAAAACACATGTGATGTGGGATGTCCTTCTGTATGCTTCGAATGTGTGTTGCTTTTATTGGCTGATGAATAAAGCTGTTTTGAAAATTGGCCAGGTAGAGGCAGGCAGATCTCTGTGCCAGCCTGATCTACAAAGCTACACACAGAAATCCTGTCTTGAAAAATCAAAAAAATTTTTCTCAAATCTTTATGTTATAAATGTTATTTCTGTCCTGAGATCAGTTCTCAATCATGTTTCCCACCCTGGAGGCTCTATTCACCCAAGTGATTGTTTCCTGTTTAAGCTATTTATACCCTCCTGATGTAAAGTTTTACTGTGTGTGTGTGTGTGTGTGTGTGTGTGTGTGTGTGTGTGAGATGCTTATGACACGTGCCATGGCACCTGTGTGGTGGAGGTCAGAGGATGACTTACAAAAGTCAGTCCTCTCCATTCACCATAGGGGTCCCAGGGATCAAATTCGGGTTATAAGGTGAGCCACTTGCTGGCCCTATCCATTTGGTTTAATTTTGGTAGATCATATATCTAGGAACTTATTTATTCTACAGTTTTCCAGATTTTTAAAATATGTTTTCAAAATATTCCTTCGTAAACTTTTGGATTTCATTGGAATCTTTTTTTTAAAGATTTATTTATTAATACAACATCCTGCTTCCATGTATGTCTGCATGCCAGAAGAGGGAACCAGATCTCATTACAGATGGTTGTGAGCCACCATGTGGTTGCTGGGAATTGAACTCAGGACCTCTGGAAGAGCAGACAGTGTTCTTAACCTCTGAGCCATCTCTCCAGCCCACAAAGATGTATATTAAGATGTATATTTGGCTGATGGAACAGGCTTCTTATTGGCTAGCTCTATCTTAATTATTAACCAATTTCTATTAGAGGCAATCATTTTACATATCAATCCCCGTTCCCTCTCCCTGCCATCTTCCCATGTCCCTACCAACCCCCCAAACCATCCCCCAAATCTGTTTTTAAAAGTACTTATATTTGGGCATATCTACATATTTTTATGTGTGCAAATGTGTGTGTGTGTGAAGTCAGAGGTTGACAGAGTATCTTTTACTCTTCACCTTAGTTTTTGAGACAGGGTCTCTCTCAAACTGAACCTTACCGGTTTGGTTAGATGGCCAGTGAGCATCAGAGACCTTCCTCTATCTGCTACCCCTGATATGAATATGAATCTTTGCATGCAGGTATGGACAATCTGAACTCAGGTCCTCATGCAGCATGATAAATTTTACTGTGTCATCTCCCCAACCCCACTTTCTGAGAGACAGGGTTTCTCTGCGTATCCTTGGCTGACCTGGAACTCACTCTGTTGACCAGGTTGCCTCAAACTCAGAGATCCTCCTGCCTCTGCCTCCCAAGTGCTGGGATTAAAGGTGTGTACCATGACTGTCCAGCACTTTCTGACTTTTTTTAAAAAAGATTTATTTATTTATTTATTACATATACAGTGTTCTGTCTACACGCCAGAAGAGGGCACCAGATTGAATTGTAGATGGTTGTGAGCCACCATGTGGTTGCTGGGAATTGAACTCAGGACCTCTGGAAGAGCAGTCAGTGCTCTTAACCTCTGAGCCATCTCTCCAGCCCCCACTTTCTGACTTTTTAATGTCATTACTCCTAACTGTACTTAGTACTGATTGGCCACATATTCCCATGTTCTGGTGAGCTGACCTAAAGACTTTTTCGTTTTTATTTTATTTTTTTTTGGTTTTTCGAGAGGGTTTCTCTGTATTGAGTGCTGAGATTAAAGGCGTGCGCCACCAACGCCCAGCAAAATATTTCTTTAATGTTTATTTACTATGTATACAGTGTTCTGCCTGCACACCAGCAGAGGGAAGCAGATCTCATTACAGATGGTTGTGAGCCACCACGTGGTTGCTGAGAATTGAACTCAGGACCTCTGGAAGAACAGCCAGTTCTCTTAACCTCTGAGCCATCTCTCCAGCCCCCGTTTCATTTCTTTAATGGTCATTAAGTTTGAACTGGTCAGTATCTATGTGTCTGTCAGGATCGGCTGTGTTCCTTCCCATTGACCTCTAGGTCATGGGACTAGACCTAATAGGATAGAAATTATCTTATTTTAGAGAATACTGGCTGAGAAGCATATGTATTCCCTATCTGTTGGATGGAATATTCTGTGTAGGCTGAGTTTTGGCATTGGTGTCTTTGCTGATTTTTAGATCAGGCAACCTATCTAGAGATGAGAACAGAGAATTGAAATTACCTACTATTGTCAGGACTTACCTGAACTTTAGTCTTTATTTACCACTGTACAACTTCCTGATTAATTACTACCTCTATTAACATGCAGTGACCTTACTTTTCTAACTTCAGTTTGGTCCGTTTTATCAGATAGGTAAATCAACTTGTTTTTTTTTTTTTTTTTTGGTTGTTCGAGACAGGGTTTCTCTGTATTGTTTTGGAGGCTTTCCTGGAACTCGCTTTGTAGACCAGGATGGCCTCGAACTCACAGAGATTCGCCTGCCTCTGCCTCCCGAGTGCTGGGATTAAAGGCGTGTGCCACCAACGCCCGGCAAATCAACTTGTTTTTAATGCCTTTGTTTGTACCATTTGACTCTTCACTGTAGGCTTATGTATTTTTCAAAACAGGGTCTCACTATGTAGCTCTGGATGGTCTGGAACTCACTCTATTGACCAGGCTACCCTATGCTTCCCACTGGACATGTGACTCCTACTTTCTTATCTCTGTTTGGTAATTTGAGTCTTTTTTTTCTTGGTTCACCCATCTAACATTTTTAAAAAATTATTTATTGCCGGGCGGTGGTGGTGCACGCCTTTAATCCCAGCACTCGGGAGGCAGAGGCAGGCGGATCTCTGTGAGTTCGAGGCCGGGCTGGACCGACAGCCTCCAAAACAATACAGAGAAACCCTGTCTCATAAAACCAAAGAAAAAAATTATTTATTGCATACACAGTATTCTGCTTGCATTTATGTCTGCATGCCAGAAGAGGGAACCAGATTTCATTATAGATGGTTGTGAGCCACCATGTGGTTGCTGGAATTTGAACTCAGGACCTTTGGAAGAGCAAGCAGTGCTCTTTACCACTGAGCCATCTCTCCAGCCCCCCCCCCCCCCTAACATTTTATGAATGATGTTCTTTTGAGGTAGTAGTTAAATATATCATTGAAACTGGGAAGCAGCTCTGTGGTAAAGCAAGGCTCTGGGTTCCATCTTCAGCTTTTGAGACAGGCTTTCTCTATGAAACTGACAGGCTGTCCTGTAACTCACTCTGTAGAGAGGGCTGGCCTTGGACTCAGATCCGCCTATCTCTGAGTACTGGGATAAAAGGCGTGTGCCACCATTGTCCCGCCCAATTCTCCTTCTTTTGCTGATTTTCTGATTTCCCTGTTATGCCCAGAAAAGACATTGTGTATAAAAACTATCTTGGGGGCTGGAGAAATCTTACAAACACTTGCACCTGCAGCTCCAGGGGTACCTGACACCTCTGGTCTCCATGGCACCTGCACATACCCACCCACACACAAACCCATAATAAAGAGGAAGAGCACACGTGTTCTTCCAGAAGACTTGGGTTTGATTCCTAGCACCTATATGGCCACATTCACAGCCATCTGCAGCTCCAGTGTTCCAGATAACCTCTTCTGGCCTCTGTAGGCACCAGGTACACAAGTGATGTAGGCAAAACAGCCTTCCACATTAAAAAAAAAAGTTATTCTCCTGGCTATCTTGGAGCTTATTAAAATATGGCATCGTGCCTTATAAACTTATTGTGTATATATGCATGCAGACATGTGTGACACAGTGCATGTGGTCAGAGGACAACTTCCCAGTCAATTCTTCACCACCTTGTTTTGAGGAAGGGTCTGTGGCTACAGTATGTACTTAATCCAGTGAAGGTGACCCACAGGTTTCCAGGCAATTCTCCTGTCTCAGCCCCACATCTCCCAGTACTGTATCACAGGCATATGCTACCACACTTGGCTTTGATACGTAATACATATTTTTTTTCCCAGACAAGATTTCTCTGTGGCTTTGGAGGCTGTCCTGGAACTAGCTCTTGTAGACCAGGATGGTCTTGATTCACCAGCCTCTGCCTCCCGAGTGCTGGGATTAAAGGCGTATGCTGCCGCCGCCACCACCACCTGGCTTAAAAGTGCATTTCTGCTTGGTCAATGTGGCATGTCACACCGGGGAGATGGCTCAGTTGATAAAATTGCCTGCTGTGTAAGCAAGACGACCCCAACCTTCACACAAAACTCCAAGGGGGCAGACTGCTAGCCAGGCAGCACAGCTGAATCAGCAGATACCCTGCCTCCGAGAACACAGATCCACCCCAAACATAAGACACCAGCTGCAGCCGGGCGTTGGTGGCGCACACCTTTAATCCCAGCACTCGGGAGGCAGAGGCAGGCGGATCTCTGTGAGTTCAAGACCAGCCTGGACTACCAAGTGAGTTCCAGGACAGCCTCCAAAGCCACAGAGAAACCCTGTCTCAAAAAACCAAAAAAAAAAAAAAAAAAAAAAAGACACCAGATGTCAATGTCTGGCCCCACCACGCTTGGTCTAACCACTCTTGGTCTCTTTTAATATAAAAGTATGTAGTTTTGTTTTTTTTTTCATCCTTTCACTCTCATTTTTGTCTCAACATCTAATAGGAGTCTACTGTAAGCAACATAGAACTAGCTCAGTTGTTATCCATTAAGTTCTGTCTTTTTTTTTTTTTTTTTTGGTTTTTCAAGACAGGGTTTCTCTAAGTTCTGTCATTTGATTGGAGATTTTAAAACCAATTCTTCCACCTGAAGTACTTGCTGGTGAGGGCACTTAACTCTTGCTATTTTTCTATGTTCCTTAAAGCCCACTCCCTGAATTTTCTTACTTGCTTTCACAGTAAAACGTTAAAAATCGCTTTTCTACCAGGTGGTAGAGGCACACACCTTTTTAATTCCAGCACTCAGGGGCAGAGGCCAGCCTAGTCTACAGATCAGGTTCCAGGATAGACTCCAAAGCTACAGAGAGACCCTGTCTTGAAAAACCTTTCATTCTAGTACAACCGATCCATACTAGACTTTTAGGAGACTTCCTTGGTTATGGTTAATGTGCAACTATACAATGCAATGGGTACAATTGTGTGAGGTTGCCCTCTCACCCCATTCATATTGAAGCCCTAACCCCCACACATGGAGGTAGTTGGTGGAACCTTTGGGTTCCTTGCGAGCTTTCAGTTAAAAAAAAAATCCTGAGACATGCAAGCACATGACCCTGCGGTTCAATGCCCAGCACTCTACCTAACCCTATCCTTAGATGATCATGGCAATTTCAGGTTTCAGTTCATGACTTTTGGCCCTCTTCCCCTTACTTCCTGGTCTGGTGAGGCAGCCAGTCATACCAGAAGCATATAGTAGAGCAAAGGTGCTTCCTTCATGGCCGAAGCCTCAAACCTCGAGGGCATGTTTCTTAGTAAAATGAGACCTCCCATCAAGATAGCCTATTCTCTTGGCAAGAGAGCTATTAAAATATGGGCCTTTGGGCTATATTCCAGATCCAAGTCACAGCAGGAAGCCATTCTGCTTAGATGAGGTCATAAGGGTGGGGCCCTCATAATGGGAGTGGTTCCTTTCTGCCTGGTTGACACAGTAGGAAAGCAACCTTTCTTGTAACTGCAAGCTATGTCACAAAACTAAAACTGACCTGCCAATCTTCAGATAGGCTGCTTAAGCCCCCAGGTCTATACCAGTTACATTAATCACCCTCTAGCTATAGCTATTAATCCATCCACTGCCAAACTATTTGAAAACTTGTTTTGAATTTAGCAAACAAAGCAAACTTTCCTGCCCTCACAGGGCTTATCTTCTACCAGGGAAAAGACAGATTTAAGTCACAAGGCAGGAATCCAGGAGAGCTCATGCACAGGGAGAGGATGCCACTTTTAAGCACATCAGTAAAGGAATGAACTTGGAAACCATGGGCTTTGGAAAACTGGGTAGAAAGTCATTTGGTTATCTTCAGGAACTGCTCCAGCCAAGAGGAAATGCATGAAGCGTTGTGGTGGGGATGGTGCTTAGCACATTTCAGGAAAAGGAAACTGGAACAAAGCAGCGGACACAGGCCCGGAGCACATTAAAGTCTCCAGTAAGACACTGGCCTCTGCAGAGTGAGACTAGCTTTTTGAGATAAGGGTGTCCTGGCTGGTCTGGGCCCTTCTGCCCATACCACCAGATTCTGCTAAAATGGGAAAACATGCAGGAGAGCTTACCAGATGACCAGTCCTTTGGGTATCACATAACTTCATTCAATCACTTGTCCTTGGCCTCAACTTTGTATCTAACACAAGCACGTCTATCACACATCAGACTCCCATGAACCAAACTCACCTCCAAGCTGGTCCCTCCCTGACACCAAGTACCACTCATCTAAAGATGGTGTTTGAGGCCCACCCCCAGCCCAGAGGCATCTTTACAATTCTAACCCCTGGGCCATTTTCCTTTCCACCCATGATCGTACTTGCTAGTTTTTAGCACTATACAATTTGTGACAAATCAGAATCCCCTGGGTGTAGGGAGTCATGATCCAAAGAAAGTGTTCCTTTGGGGGGGGGGGGTGGACAGATGATTGTTACCCATTTGTAAACTGCTTCTCTACAAATGGGAGGAAATTGCTAAATTATGACAAAACTAGACAGACACTATTATTTAAGACCTTTATTAACAGGTGCTTGCAGTTTGTTGACTTTTTTTGAAAAAATCAAGTTGTAAACTTTTATTACAAATTAAAAATGAAGTTCTTAAAAATCTCAACTTGACCAGATATGAAACAATTTAAAAACCATTAAAGGTGTATTGAGAAAAACCAGACCCTTTTTTTTTTTAAAAAACACGTTTGTCATTACCAAAAAGAGACATCTTTAGGTAAAAATAATAAAAACCCCATGCTGCATAGATAATGCAGATAGTTCTAGTGTATCTGGTCAACGGGCAAAAAGCAAGCACTTAAGGTCTTCAGCTCCAATCTTTGTTCATTTCTTATTGCTGGAATTTCATATTCATTCTTCTTGTTGGATGACCAAACTGCAAAGAGAAAGACTCCATCAGTCACATTTTTTTTTTTTTTTGATTTTCAAGACAGGGTTTCTCTGTGGCTTTGGAGGCTGTCCTGGAACTCACTTGGTAGTCCAGGCTGGTCTTGAACTCACAGAGATCCGCCTGCCTCTGCCTCCCGAGTGCTGGGATTAAAGGTGTGCGCCACCAACACCTGGCGAGAGACCAGTAATAAAAGTGCTTGTTTTGGGCTGGAGAGATGGCTCAGAGGTTAAGAGCACTGACTGCTCTTCCAGAGGTCATGAGTTCAATTCCCAGCAACCACATGGTGGCTCACAACCATCTGTAATGAGCTCTGGTGCCCTCTTCTGGTGTGTAGATGTACATGGAGGCAGGGTGTTGTGTTTGTAATAAACAAATAAATCTTAAAAAAAAAAGTGCTTGTTTTACTCTATTACCGTTTTTAGTTTCTTTTGCACTAGAGCACAGTGCAGTGAGCGTCAGAGGGGGCCTACTTACCCGGATGATGGAAGAGATGGTAAGCCGGCATTTACTCAGCCCCACCCTGCTCAGCCTCGGGAGCGGACGAATTCTCAGCTGGTGGATCAGCTGCTTTTGTCTCTTTGCCATCTTGTGGTTTAGGGTTCTCTGGGCGTCTGCGTCGGTAATTGAAGTTGCGGCGATACCGACGTTGAGGAGGCTGCTGACCCTGGGTCTCATCTCCTTGATTTTCCTTGTCCTCTTCATTGCCGTCCTCTCTAGGCTGTCTTTGGCGAGGAGGGCCCCTGAAATGAACATCATATCATCTCAGGAGTGGTAACTTCCCTTTAACCCAACCATAAATGGTAATACTTGGTACTCGGCTATACCAACCATTTTTCTTTTAGGTGGTCCTTCTGACAGCTTAGCAAATGTAAGCTACTTCTAAAGGCCAAGTGTAATGATTCTGTATTAGGTACCAGTAAAACTAGAGATTTCGTTCTTCACCAAAAAAAAAAAAATGCATGCAAACCCAAGATTCTGTTGCTGATACCTGTAGACTGATTATATACTGTTAGGAGGAGAAGCTTTATATTTTATACTATGGCAATGGGTGTAGCACTGAAAAAATTTCAAATCATTAAAAAGATTGAGTCATTAACATAAAAAAAGGAGAACTCAGCACAGGTACAATACAATCAAAAAGTGTTCACCAGGGAGCAGTCCAGATTACCCAGTGGTTAAGAGTTCTTGTTCTTGCTGGGTTTGTTTCCCAAGCACCCACAATTACATGTTTTTAACATCAATCCAGAATATCAGATGGTTTCTGGACACCAAAATATCAGTCATTATACATGTGTTACACACACATATGCAGGTAAACATCCAAATAAAATAAATCCAAAAGTGAACCAGGAAAAGGTTCCTAATTCATCTGAAATAAAAACACAGAAGCCGGGCGGTGGTAGCACACGCCTTTAATCCCAGCACTCGGGAGGCAGAGGCAGGCGGATCTCTGTGAGTTTGAGGCCAGGCTGGAACAACAGCCTCCAAAACAATACTGAGAAACCCTGTCTTGTAAAGCAAAACAAAACCACACAGGACAGGGCAAACCTTTTAATAATCCTAGCTAGAACCGAATTACATAAGGCCTTGCCTCAAAAATAAAACCAAACCATCACAGGGCACATAAGCTTAGACACTGACTATGTTGGGTGCTATGGTACATGCCTTTCATCCTAGCCACTTAAGACCAGTAGTTTGAGGCTAGCAGCCCAAGCAACTTAGTTAAATTCTGTCTTCAAAACAAATAACTGTCAAGGGGAGGAACTGGGAGACTGCTCAAGTAGTAAAGTGCTCAGTCAAGTCTGAGGATTTCTTGCCCAGATCACCAGCATCACATAAAAAGAAGATGGGCGGGCTGGAGAGATGGCTCAGAGGTTATGAGCACTGACTGCTCTTCCAGAGGTCTTGAGTTCAATTCCCAGCAACCACATGGTGGCTCACAACCATCTACAATTCAATCTGGTGTATATGTAATAAATAAATAAAATCTTAAAAAAAAAAAAAAAAGAAGATGGGCACTGGTGGCACATGCCTGAGGCAGAGGCGGGTAGATCTGAGTTCAATGCCAGTCTGGCTACAGAGTGGCAGGACAGGGACACACAGAGAAGCTCATCTTGAAAAATAAAAAACAAAAAACAAACCAACCAACCAACCAAAAAAAAAAAAAAAAAAAAAAAAAAAGCTGGATGGTGACATTTGCTAATACTAGGACCAAGGACAGAAACCCAGGGCTCGCTCACTGGCCAGCCAGTGTAGCTCAACGAGCTTCAGATCCAATGGAGAAAAAAAAAAAAGCCCCCAAAACACAAAACGCACACACGCACGCTCACGCCAAGATGACACTCACATGGTGAGTGGCTGATAACTCAAGCACTCCATGGATGTGGAGCACTAGCTGTTGTTAACCAGCTATAACCTCACTGGGCTCTCTAACTGCAAACCTTCAGTCATGAATGAGGCCTCTCACTACATTATGCCATTGGCAGCGATGCCTCAAAGCCCAGCAGGGTTAGCTTTGCTCAAGAAGCTTTTCCTTCATGATTCCAATAGTGCCTTTGACCTAAAACACCACCACAGGATTTTCTATAGTACCCTCACCTTTCTCCTCTAAGCCATGTTTAGATACTGTCGCTTGAAATACTCTTACCTGTTCAGGGACAGAAAATGTAGAATTCCATACCCTTGCTTAAAAAACAAACAACAACAACAACACACACACAAAACAGTAGATCTCAACTACGTAAGCGGTTTTATAGCAGCACCAATGATGGAAAGAACACATTCTCAGCCAGGCGTTGGTGGCACACGCCTTTAATCTCAGCACTCAGGAGGCAGAGGCAGGCAGATCTGAGTTTGAGGCCAGCCTGGCCTGAGTCCAGGACAGGCTCCAAAATAGAGAAACCCTGTCTTGAAACAAAAACAAAAAAAGGAGAGAATACATTCTCAAAGACTACTCACTTCAGTAGCACTTCTTATACATCAATGAAAGAGAATGAAGTATTAACTCACGATGCTGGAGGCCTAACATCTGGCTGAAGAATGCAACAGAAACAGGTTACGATGGGCCATACCTGCGGAATCGTGGTCTGTAACCCCGATACATATTCTGTCTCACTGGTCTACCTTGCTCTCCTGCACCCTGGTTGTCAGCACCCTGAAAAGACATCAGATATTAAAATCTATTGGGTCAACAACAAGAGCAAAATCCCAATCAGGCAAGTTCAAACTTTTTTTTTTTTGGTTTTTCGAGACAGGGTTTCTCTGTATTGTTTTAAAGGCTGTCCTGGAACTAGCTCTTGTAGACCAGGCTGGCCTCGAACTCACAGAGATCCGCCTGCCTCTGCCTCCCCGAGTGTTGGGAATAAAGGCATGAACCACTATTTCCTGGCCAAATTCTTAACTCTTGAGGGCAAGATATCTAATTATAACACCATAAATTAAGAAGCTTGGTGGTTCTTCGTATTCAAAAGTGCATTCTGTGGCAACAGGTTAATTTAGGTAGGGCTGGTGCTCACCCAGCACTTACCTAGTCCTGGGAAAGCAAAAATAAAAAGACAACATAAAAATGCTATTACATACATACTGGCACTTACCTCCATCACTTCTCCTTGCACAGGAGGGTTGGAATACTGTGGTCGACGCCCATAGGGTCTCCGCAAGTAGTAAGGTGGGAACCTTCGCCTGCGATAGGGCCGGCGTTGTTGGGCTTGGCCTTCAGGAGCACTTTCCGATCCCTCGTTCTTTTCCCCACTCTCACTATTCTGGTAATTTTGCTGGTAATTGCGTGGAGGACCCCTACGACGTGGATAGCGTCTATAATGGTTACGGTCTGCTGCGTATTTACTGCCTTGAACTGGAACTCCACCAGGGCCTGTAACATTTGCTGCCTCCGCACCCTACAAAAGCCATCATTTATTAACAAAGGAAATCCAAATAGTCAATAAATTTCACACAAGCTGGGTAGGGAAAACAAAGAGCAAACGAAACAAACGAGGGAGGGAGGTTGTCTACACGGGAAAGGGTGCACAGGGATGACGGCATCGTCAGCTCCTCACTCTTCTCTGAAGGGACTGCTCTCTAACTGCAGCAGTGTTAGGCTTGATGCACCTGTGTTCATGTGGTCACCAGAACACATCATCCATCCAATTAGAGCCACCATCCTAATGGATGAGATCTCCAAATTATTTCCATACCGAAGTCAAACCTTTACACAAAAAGCATCCTCACCTTTTCTCCTTCAACAACATCAAACTCCACAGTCTCTCCATCTCCTACACTGCGAAGGTACTTCCTGGGGTTATTCTTCTTTATGGCAGTCTAGTAACATCATTCCAAAAATAGATTAACAGGGGAGAAGAATGTGCTTTTTTCATTTAAAATGTACCAGCGTCAATATCACTTTTAGCTTGGATATATACTTAAAATTTACTTTATGTAAGACCAAACAGTCAATAGTTTAGGAAAGCAGGAACCAATGTTACCTTACCCCCAACCTCTACCAAGAGACTCCAATCTTACAAGGCCCCAGCATTTTACCACTATTTACAAAACTAAAGGAATTTAGTACCCAAGACAGACAACAATGTGTTAAGATACTTTTTGCAAACACATCACATATAAAGCTTGGAACAAAATGAGGCCTCCATCTATCCCCCAAAGACTGCACTTAATAGAAGAAGCTAGCCTGACACACGGCCAGTTTAGATGACAGGCAAGTTTATAGTTTTACATACTTCCCAACTTTGGCCATACCAACTCTTGTCTCTTTACCATATCAAGCTCAATTACAAATGTCAACCAAAATCCCTTCCAGCCTGTCTATAATAAATACTTCCGGGGCATTTCACATGTATCTATGCCACTCTTGTATTACTTTTCTCTCCGTGAGAGACCTCTTGGTTACCACCTCCCCAGAAAACAGTTAAGTCTTACATTATATAGGGCTTAAATTATGAAGTGCCAAAGGTCACACAGCTAGTAAGTGGCAGGGGAACTTTTCTAAATCCAGGTCTTAGGACTCCAAATCCCAAGTTCATTCCACATCACAGCAGTATCCGTTACAGGATCACCCATGCATTTCCATTCCAGAGGAGACCTGACAACCGACAAATCTGAGGCCAGTTAAGCTCAGGTGCCCAGAACTGCAGTCTACTTGATACACCACCAAAACCTGAGCAGCCAAAGTCCCAAGAACAACTCTATGTTGAAACCACTTTCAAAATAAATAGGAAAGCATATTGGTGACACCTTGTGGGATAAGACTGGGTGAGTTGAGTCAAATAAATGATCTCATCTGTCATCTGAACTGTCGTAGTTTCATACCTTTCATATGTAGCCAACTCTCAATTATTTGCAGTCATAGGGATAGTAGAAGTATGCATTAAAATCCAAAACACGTTAGTCACCATCTTTAGTCCCTTCCAATCTTTCATGGCTGTCAGTGGCAGCAAGACTAACAACCCTTGCTGCTTGTCTATTGAGTCTGCATTATTTCCAACTTATAACAAGAACAGATAAGAGTCACCTTACCCAAACAAGCATATTGATTTCATCTTTGCTAGGTCTTTTGATCTCCCACCAATTAAAAAAAGAAATAAGGGGGAAAAAAGGTTGAAAATTCTTAAAAATAACTTTCAACAGAAGTAGATCTGAGACAGGGTTTCTGTGTAGCCCTCCTCAAATTCAGATCTTTCTGCTCTGCCTCTCTAGTGCTGGGACTAAAGGTGTACACCACCACCCAGCAGTTACCAATTCTTAATTCCTCAAGGTCCAGTCATTTTCCTAGTCAGTATGTATGTAAATTCTAACTCCTCCAAACACTGGCAGCCAATTAACGTAATTTACGAACCAATCACAACTCGGTGCAATGCCTTTCACTTGAGTTAAAACACTAGTGAGGATTTATGTTTCCATAAATTGCTACTTAAAAATGCTTTAGAATAAAAAGAGCCACCCTACTTTAGTCAATGCTGGCTTCCTATTTTCTTCAAGTAGTGGTTTTGTAGCTTTGTCCCATAAAGATTTGTCCTTACCAAAGGTGGACCTGACTCTAACAGCATCTGGCAATGTCTTGCCAATGTTTCTGTATATTTATAGCAACATTATTCAAGATTAAATTTATGGTGGTCATTTGTCTGAAACTAGGCATGAAAACTGTGCCATCGGTTGAACAGATTCAACATTATTATTAATGAAACTCCAAATCATAGCACTTAAATTAAGTGAACTCTTCAGTGCAGTGTTTCACTCTACACTTTAATCTTAGGGTTCAGGAACTAAATAAACTCAATTCTTGAACTTAACCTTTAGAGCCTTTCTTCTCACAAGCCTTGAGCCAGAAGTACAGAGAATCAATACAAGCACTCACCTGGTGTACAAATACGTCTTCCTTGGTGTCATTCCTACAAGACAGAACCAAGATTATCAAGTGAAAAAACAAGGCATGTTTCATTGCCTAAAACTGAACAGCCTGGTCTGTAAAGCAAATTCTAGGCCAGTCAGGTTACAGAGCAACCCGAAAAATCCAATGAACGCCTGGTCAGTGGACATGCTCAATTTCCCCCAGACTTCCTAGCTGTGTAGGATTAAGTGGAAAATCATTTCCATCTTTTAACTTCGAATGTGGGCATGGGAACATTAGGAACCTTGGAGAAACAAATTTTTACTTCAGTGACTACCAGCTATACCTTTACCATCAGTGTGTGTGTGGGAACAGTAAAATACAAGACTAAACTTAAAACAGTGATAAGCTCATTCACTACCTGTAAGGAAAGCAAACAAGTCTAAGGCAGTGTAACTAAATGAGCCATAATTCAATAGGACAGCAGTGACAAGCAACACCTCTCCCACTCCTTACCTTATTAAACATTAATAACTAGCCCACACACCTTCATCTACACACCAGTATTACTAACCCAAGTAGTTATTCTCACTGCCTCACACTTCTAACCCCCAAACCCCCCAAGGTAATAAGACCACAAAAGTCCTTTAGAAAACACCACAGAGAATGAAATTTCATGTAAACTATGTATGCCTAACACTGTTTCCAATAGCAAACATGCCTTTCACCTACCATTACAGACATTACAATCCTTAGTCAAGTGAATATACCTGCAAAGCTTTATCTTTTGACAGCCTGCACTACGACAAACAATTCTGCCTCAAGTTTCCACAATGCTGGTTGGGATCATTACAGGGTTTTTCCAGGAAACCAGACAAAGTCTTTCATTAGAAGAATATGGATGATTATTGCATGAAATGAAACATCTGAATAAACAGAGCCCAGAGTTAGTTAGGTCAAAGTTCAATCAGGAACTGACAAAGTCTTAGACTAAACAACCACCCAAAGAAGATATTTAGGCTATCTTTCTTTCTTGGGACCAAAATGAGGAAACCAAGACTAAGTGAAAACTGGAAGCGAGGGAATCATTTGTCTTTTGAATGTTCGAAACGGTGACATTAGGACCCTAAAGGAACAGATTTCCTGGTTAGTGACCCACTTCCACCCTCTTCACTATTAGGAAGCCAGAGAACTGTATTAGTTATAATAATATTAGCACTTAATGAACAAAAGGCACCATTGGCATACTGTTAAAAAGCAAAAAAAGTCTGCCTCAAGTGCTGTACCACCACCTCATCCAACCTAGCCATTGGCTAATACATTTTATTTAAACTGATGGGTAGAATAAGATGGTTCAGCAAGTAAAGGTGCTTACTGACTATGTGAGTTTGATCATGTGGTTTTGATCTGGAACCCATATACAGTTAATTCCTACAACTTGTCCTCTGACCTCCAAATGTTCCCAACTCCCCAATAAATAAATGCAATAAAATAACGAATGAGCTGGGCATGATGGTGTAATTCCAATACTGGGGAGATAGATTTCTGAGTTTCTGGACTGCCACTGCTACAGAGAGACACTGTCTCAAAATTCAGTATTTTAAATTCAATGAATAGAAAATTTCCAAAGGGTATTTTTTTTGCTCATGATGTTATATTATGTATCTAGCTTTTAAAAATTGGATAATGATAGCAATTAGACAGTACTATTCCCTAAGAAATACTTTGAAACCCAAACACAGCAGCTGTCTTGTAACTAGACTAGCCTGAGAAATATCAAAGTGTATGTAGATGTCAGGAAGAAACTTGATTCCTAGTTTCGACCCAGCTAAAATATCAGTCTGAGCTGGGCATTGGTGGCGCACGCCTTTAATCCCAGCACTCGGGAGGCAGAGGCAGGCGGATCTCTGTGAGTTCGAGATCAGCCTGGACTACCAAGCGAGTTCCAGGACAGCCTCCAAAGCCACAGAGAAACCCTGTCTTGAAAAACAAAAAACAAACAAAAAATCAGTCTGAACACTTTTAGTTACAATTTATTAAGTGGTGGCACACACCTTTAATCCCAGCACTTGGGTCTTGAGGCCGCCCTGGTTTATAGGAGTTCCAGGACAGCTAGGACTGTTACAGACAAAACCCTGCCTCAAAAAATAATGAAAACCAAAAAAAAGTCCTGTAACTTTGGAAAGCAAAGCTATTCCCTTACTTTTTCTTTTCTCTACCTGCAAGAGGAAAAATACGGTAGGAGCTACAGAGAGTACTTGTTCTTCTCAAAGCCAGGCTTGGGTCCCAATACCTACAACTACCTGCTACTAAACAAACAGGGCACACGAATACCCCGAGCCTGGATTACCAAAGACTAATTTCTAAACATTACACCAGGTGTTTTGAATTACCATTTATCCCCACAATTCTGACACAGGTAGTAGCAGTAACCCCTACCATCTTCACAAAGCAAGGAACTGAAATACAACTTGTGACTATTTGTTCATAGTGTTGACTTCTAGCTTCTTAGGGGCTCTGGTCTTTACACATGGGAATTAAAAACATCCTTACACTGTACCTTAAAATAATTTTTAAAAGCTTATCTCTATGTACTTGTGTGTCTAAGTAAATGCTAGGTGTGCAGAGAGGCTACAAGTGGGTGTCTGATCTCACTGACACTGGAGTCCTACAAAGAGCATCGTTTCAGCTCACATTTTATCTTTAGAGGAAGATTAAACACATCTGCAAGATGACCAGTAGTAACTAGAATCCCTATATGCTTTCCTGATGTAGGTCAGGAAGGAGAACAAATGCAGCTTCCTCTTTTTATTACCATGTTTCAAACACTTCAGCAATGTGCTAAGTATTCTATTAAGCCCCTAAAATACTGACTGGCTATGCCTATCATTCAAACCCTAGCTCTCTAAATGACTGTTTCTATTCTACTCAATCTAACCAGACCAACAAGGTTCTCAAAGTTAAAACACCCCCCAACCCAAACAGGAACACAAGACTTACCATTAGTTTATTAACAAAATCTACATACTAGAACCACTATCATAAACCATAATTTGCACTAAGATTTGAAGCTTGCCCTTACAAAAAAAAAAACATCATAAATCCCATTTATCTCCTTAGTTGCTCTCTAGGCAGACATACCATCTTTTCCAGATGTGACCATAGGTGCTTCCAAGAATCTAGACAGGCTACCTAACTCCACAACTAGTCTCAGGATAAGGAAAAGAGAATATACATGATGTTCCTTCTGGATAATTAAGAGCAAATCATCTTACCTGGCAGAAAAGGGGAAAGAACCACTACAAGATGAGGATTCTGTTCTGAGTTATAAGACAGTGACTGAGCGAATAGAGACTTCCATCATTTTTTTTTCTGGTTTTTTGAGACGGTTTCTCTGTATTGCCTTGCAGCCTATCCTGGAAACTTGCTGAGTTCCTAAGTGCTGGGATTAAAGGCATGTGCCACCAACACCAGGCTGATTTCCGTAATAAGATCAGTAATTAAAACACTAACAGGTAAGTTTGTAGCTCACTCGTGTGCAAACCAAGAGTCACAGTATTAAGTCAACCTCTTGCACATCCCATTCTTAAAACACTGTCAAGGGACCCTCAGACTTTTGTACAATTCCTATTTTAGGGGATACACATCTAGACACATGAGACAGAAACCAGGGTGAGTGACTTTAAAAACTTGACCAGAAAGTGGGATGACACCACTTGGCATAATCCTTGACCAAACACAGCAGCCAGAACTTCATTTTTTTCCTCAGTGAAACTCAAGCAACCCTCACCAGCCCCAACCCAAAGTGATTTTCCTGCTGTTCTTGGATGAGCTGGACCCCAGGCCCTACTTTCCCAGAATCCCCTTTATACCTGAAGCACCTTTGTGCCTCTTTTGGTCCTGGCAATGACTAGAGCTTCCTAACAGTATGAAGACTAAGACACATTTGCCCATCCTGCCAAAGCAAAACCTCAGCGAAGTAGTAAAAAGCAGTCTTTACAAAAAAAAAGTAACACCCAAAAATGTGGTGCGGGTCCTAGAGGCAATTCAAATAAGCTTCTCCCTTCCCAGGTGACTCTGGGTTGAGTCAAGTACTTACACACACACACACACACACACACACACACACACACACACACACACACACACACACACACACACACACACAAAGCCAACTAAAAGAGGCAAGGCTGGTCAACAGCATGAGTTAGTTCAAACACAAAAGACAATCAGGGATACACAAAGAAATCCTTTCTCAAAAACCAACTACCAGCCAAGAATGATACCACCAGGTCTGGTTGGGACAACACCTATAATCTCAGCAACCACTTCCAGCCCATTTTCTTGCTACCTCAAAAAAAAAAAAAAAATCAACAAGATATATTCTTTCCTTAATTCCTCAACTGCATCTCAATCTCAGCATGGCAAGTTCTTAAACGTGTAAAGCTGACTTGCACACTAAACTAGAATTTGTGGAATATAGTAAAAGGCAACCTAAGGAGTAGTCAGCAAACAAAAAACTCTAGTGTAGATCATGTAGCCTTTCAATGACTTAAGAATGTGGACAAACTCCAACTGAAAATGACCAGGATCTATTTTCACAGATAGTATGACACAGAAGTTGAACCAATACTCTAGAGCACAAAACTAAGTTCAAATCTTGCTTCTGTTACTTCCTATATTTATGGGACAAATTGCTCAAACTTGTGTTTGAGGAAACTCCAAAAGAAACTCAATTAGAAACTGCAAAAGAAAGGAGCCCTGAAGGAAGACTTTTTGACAGGGTTTCTCTGTGTAGCTTTGAAGTTAAGTCTGTCCTGGAACTCAGAGATCTGCCTGCCTCTGCCACCACCACCACCAACCAGCCACCCCCTCACCCCCCCCTAGCATTAAGTTTTATAGTAAGGACATAAAGCCAAGCTTTCTGGACCACAGGTTAAAAGGCCTATGTATGAGCAGTGTAAGAGAATTACAACAGAATGGGCCAAGTAGATGGCTCAGCTGGAAAAAAGTGCTTACAGTGCAAGCTAGACAACCCTGAAACCCCTGAACCCACGTAGAAGCCAGTGTTGCAGCATAGGCATTATTACCTCACATACGAACATGCACAGACTACGGTTGAAAGGAATAAAAAAGTGATGGGATCAAATAGTAACTTGGGGAAGGGACACAAAGTTATATGACCCAGCTTTTGGGCAACATGGCACACAAAAGTTTTATACTACACTAATATTTCTAACAGACTAAAAATTCAGCTACTTTAAAAACTCTTTGGTTCTGCCTGAGTGTTGGGATTAAAGGTGTGCACCTCCACGCTTTAACTTAAAAAAAAAACTTTTCAAAGGGAAAAGGCGTAGGTCTTGATGTGTAATCCAGGCTGGCCTTAAACTCAAGTATCAGCAGAGCATGATTCCTGAAGTCCTGCCTCCTGGGATTACATGCATGTATCACTATGTTTTTATGCAGTGCCAACAGGAAACCAGGCTTTATGCACACTAGACAAGCACTCTATACCAGCTGAGTTACATCCCCAGCAGGTTTTTTTTTTTTTTTGGTTTTTAGAAACAGGGCTTCTCTGTGGCTTTGGAGCTTGTCCTGGAACTAGTGCTTGTAGACCATGCTGGCCTCAAACTCACAGAGATCCACCTGCCTCTGCCTCCAGAGTGCTGGGATTAAAGTGAGCCACCAACGCCAGGCCATCCCCAGCATTTTTAATTTGAAAATTTGACAATAAAACAATCAGCATTTGAAAATAAGCCTTGGAACAAAGAATTCTGACCAAGTTGTATCACAGCTAACAATTTAGACTTCAACAAACCTATCTTTAAAGGTGAGATGAACTCATATTTGAATTATAAAATAGCTAAAGATCCTAGAATACAAGGCCTGGCGTTGGTGGCACACACCTTTAATTCCAGCACTAGGGAGACAGAGGCATGTCTACAGAGTTCCAGGACAGGCTCCAATGCAATACAGAGAAGCCCTGTCTCAAAAAACCAAATAGTATATTAAAAAAATCCTTGAATACATAATCCAGAATTCACAGTGCATTCCAAACACCTATCTCCCATTAGAAACAAGCACATTTTAATCAGTTAAATCAGTAATTGGGTTAGGATAGTCTAACAAAGGATCATAAGCCAATCACATTTAAGTTGCCCGGAAAAATGATCAATTAAGCTGCTCCTAAGGACAGTCTATTGTAATCTACATAAAACTGCAGTATACAAATCTTGGCAAAAAAAAGTGATAAGCCTAGGAAAACGCTAAAATTTATTAAATGCATACCAAAAAACCCACAGCTAACCCAACTAAAAAGATGGCCAAGGAGGACTAGCTAGCTGCACTGGCTAAGGGTTTTAAGTGTCCTGGGAAGGCAGGGTGCAGACTAGTCTCAGCATCCTCTAGGATAGAAATCTCAACCAAAGCACTAACAATTATCAGTTTAAAGCCACCAGGACACCAACCCATACAAACAGCAAAGCAATACATCTCCTTCTTTGATCACTAGTAACCCACTGAAAACAAAAACATGGAAAATGTAGCATTCTAAAGGAAAGCAAACAGCCTACCACAGTAGAAAATCCCAGAGTCTGGAAAAAACAAAATGTTTCTCTGTAATTGCTACTGTAGAGAACAGACCATTAAGTGATTGTAATCGCTTCTGTTTGAGTGTTTCCACAACACGGTGTAGTTCATCAATGAACGGTTTTTCATCACTCCAGCTATTTTTAAAAGCCTAGTTGCCAATTTGCTAGTGCCACTTCACAAGCACTCTGCCACTCTTAAGCGTCTTTCCCACCATCTACTTATTTAATGCCTTCTAAGCAAGCGTGTAAGAGAGAAAATGCTGAAATGGCGCCAAGTCTCACAGCTGTAAGGCCAGGATTGCTGCTGGCACTCGCGGTGCTCTACACCCATGCAACTGCACTAGCCTTGGCAGCCATCTTGAAAAAGATGCCGGGCTCACAAGGGAGCCCAGAGTGCAGGCACTGCACTCACCACCACCGGCTACAAACCACCCTAAACCATTCTCTGGATCTATGAAAATGCAGTTTGCAACTACGATCAAGGACTTACGGCCACTCCAATAAGCTACAGTCAAGTTTTCACAAAAATTGATTTGATCAGCCATGATTCCCGGACAAGGAAGTAGAAGAAATAAAAATTGAGGAAGAACCATTTTCTTCGGATGTATTATTTGCCGTTTGAACAAATAAGAACCATCTTCGGCTATAGGAGTTCTACAGAAAATGTGCTCGAGGTACTCAAAGGAATGCATATGAGTGGACTAAACAAAGGCAACATAACCTTACAGTGCAGATAACATCTCAGGCACTTGACATGTCAAATCATGTTCCCCAAGAGGTTAACAAGGTGGAAAAAAAATCACCTGTATGTTAATTAGCGGGTCACATTCTTACATAGCAATTTCAACCAAGCAGGAAGGATGTCAAGGTTAAAACGTGCTTAGCCTGGAGTTGCCTCAGTTTGATGCAACGTAACTGTTAAGGCATGGTTCATGCGCCGCGCTTGCCTTGACCTGCTTTGTGCCAAAGCTTTGAGGCTAGCTCAAGATTGGTATTTAAAGGCAAAACAAAGCAAGTCTACAGACCCACTAATCCCGTCACCCAAGGAAGAGACACCACGTTTCCAACCCCTCTCCCTGTCGGGCCCGCGGAGGAACCCGCCCTGGAGATTACCCATGCAGGAGGCGGGCCCGAGCTTTCTACACCGACATCTCACCTGTTGATGAAACCGTATCCGTTCCTTACATTGAACCATTTTACTGTTCCCAAAACCTTCGTTGCTGGAAAACAAAGCACAACAATGTCCAATCAGCAGCTGGCCCTGGAAGTCGGTCCAGGATCCGGCCGCAGGCCCGGGCCGCCGCCCTCACCGCACACGTGGGTGCGCTGGGCAGCGCGGGTCCGAGGTGGGTGTGCGCCCGGGAGGCGAGCACGTGAGGGCCGGGGAAAGCAGCCCGCGCCGATCCGGCTGCGTAGGCGTCGGGGCGGGGATCCCGCGCACGAGGCCCCGAGGCTGGTGGGCGCGGGGGAGGGGCGGCCGCGACCGGAGCCGGAGCAGCGGCGGGAGCCCGGCGTGCGCGCGCCCCGAGCCTCGGGGGGAGGGGCGGCCGCGCAGTCGGTGGCTCGGGGCCGCGTCGCCTAACGGTCCGGCTCGCGGCCCCACCCCCGGTCCCTTCTGGGGCTCACCGATGACCTTCTTGTCCCCGCCGGCGGGCGCCGCCGATGTGAGGCCGCCCGGGCCGCCACTACCCGCGCCGCTGCCCGTGGAGCCGGGCTTGGTGTCGGCGGCGCTGAGGGCGGCGGCGGGGGCGGCGGGCGGCTGCTGGGTCTCGGCCTCGCTGCTCATGGTTGCGGTGGTGGTGACTGGGGCCGGCGGCGACGGCTGCGGCTCCTCCCGGGGTGTGATGGTGACTAGGCCGGCGGCGGCGGTGGGGCTCTCAGGGCTCTCTGGGGTCCGCTCTCCGCTCCCGCTACCGATCGAACTAGCGAGAATGGCGGGACGGGCGGGATAAGCCCCGCGACGGGCCCGCCCTCATTCTCTCTCATTGGCCAGGATCACCGTCAATCCTACCACCTGACCGAGTCCCTAGCGCCTATTGGCTCACGTTCCGCGTCTCTTGCGCTCTCATTGGGCCCTTTGGCTACTAATTCGGCCGATCCACAGCCGCTCCTGCCTTCGCCGCCATAGAGACCGGAACTAGAATGAGCTTCTCGGCCGTGAGCACCATAGAGTACCGGGAGGACGCGTAGAGGGAACGTGTCCGCACTGGGTTGTGCTCGTCGCGCACGTGGGCCGCGGTGACCGGGCCTACCCGTGCTTGTAGAAGGGGGCTCTCTCCCTGGACTGGGTGAGCGCCGCGGCCTCCTTAATGGCTCAGGCTTTTGGCGGCTCAGTCACCTTGGAGGGACCACGCAGGCGCTCCGGCTGCCACGAAATCAGCGTTGTAGGGCGGGGGTGCTCCTTTACCCCGGCGCACGAGGAATGTGTTTCATATTGGCCACAAATTAGATTTAATTTAGTGTCAATTTTATTGGATAAGTTAGACTCCCCCCCCACACAACACTAAGCAACAATGTAGACAAGGATTGCAATCTTTTTTTAAATATGTATTTATTATTATATATACGATGTTCTGCCTCCATGTATCCCTGCAGTCCAGAAGCGGAGCACTAAATCTCATTACGTATGGTTGTGAGTTAACTCTGTAGTTTCTGAGAATTGAACTCGAGTCCTCTGGAGGAACAATCAGTGCTCTTAACCGCTGAGCCATCTCTCCAGCCCGCAATCCATGTTTTTTTTTTTTTTACATCCTGTAAAATACAGGTTGCCTGCCGTTCATTTTTTTATTAGGCATCTGCTATTGACGGGGAATTTAAATAGTTTGCCAGTTAGTTTCTGCCTTCTGATGGAGGCAGAAATTTAAACACTTCATAGTTGGGTGAGCACAGCTTTTGGGGAAGGAAACAGAAGAGTTGGGTGGTGACTTTTCAGGCAAAGGTAGGTTCGTGCAAAACCCTAGAGCGCCTCAAGGAAAATGCAAACAAAGGGATTCAGTAGGAGTAGTAAGAAATGTGGATGGTAGAGGTGGGCAGGGTCAACTAGGTGTATTTAATGTGAGATTGATCCTGAGGTCACCTGTGGGGAGGGTAGCTTTAGAGTTCTAAGTGGGGAGTCTCATCTTTTAAAAAAGGAAGGAAGGGAGGGAAGGAGGGAGGGAGGAAGGAAGGAAGAAAAAGCTGCTGCTTGGGGAATGGGCTGCAGAAAGGGAAAGCAATTAAAGGGACCCAAGATGGCTTGAGACTGAAGTGCTGTCCCTGAGCTCCACAAGGTGAAAAGAGAAAGCCTCGCCGGGTGGTGGCGGCGGCGGCGCACGCCTTTAATCCCAGCACTCGGGAGGCAGAGGCAGGTGGATCTCTGTGAGTTTGAGACCAAGCCTGGTCTACAGAGCGAGTTCCAGGACATCCTCCAAAACAATACAGAGAAACCCTGTCTTGAGAAAAAAAAAAAAAAGCCTCTGCCTGCATGTTTTAGTTTGACCTCCCCATGAGCACTGTGGCTTTCATCTCCCACCTCCAGGAAATAAATAAATGTAATAGAAACTACAAGAAGAAAGTTAGCCGGGCAGTGATGGTACACACCTTTAATCCCAGCACTCCGGAGACACAGGCAGGCCACACAGACACCTTGTCTCGAAAAAAAAAAAAAAAGAAGAAGAAAGTTGCTGCAGTAACCACCTGCCACTCCATTTTGATAAAGGCCTCCCTTCATCAATTCTGGAAAATCTGATCCTGAAGCCAGTTAGGCTTCTCTGCCATTACTTTTGGTAATTGATATCGCTTAAAGCAGGGACAGCAAAAACAAAAAACAAAAAAACAACTTTTGTTTTATGTGCATTGGGGTATCTTGTTTGTGTGTATGTCTGTATGAGGGTGTCAGATCCCCTGGAACTAAAGTTATAGACAGTTGTGAACTGCCTCGTGGGTTCTGAGAATTGAACCCAGGTCCTCTGTAAGAGCTGCCAGTGCTCTTAACTGCTACGTCATCTCCAGCCCAGCAAAAAAGGGCAAAATAATACATAAAGTTTTGTGGGCTGTTTGGTTATAACATCAACTTTAGCTCTGAAAGCAGAGGGTGCTTTACTGTTTTTATTGGGGAGCGGGGCATGCTGGAGCTCAGAGGACAGCTTGTGTAGTCCATTCTCTCCTTTCACCATGTAGCCCTAGGCGTGGAACTGGGGTCACCCATTTTACTGTCGGCATCTAGCACATTTATCTGAAACAGTTTACTCACATTGCTGACCTAGAAATGTAATGTGGCCTTTGTCACAAGGTCCTCTTTACATCGTTTACTACTTAAAACATTACAGGTTTTGTTTTTGTTTTTTTCGAGACAGGGTTTCTCTGTGGCTTTGGAGGCTGTCCTGGAGCTAGCTCTTGTAGACCAGGCTGGTCTCGAACTCACAGAGATACACCTGCCTCTGCCTTCCGAGTGCTGGGATTAAAGGGGTGCACCACCACCGCCCTGCATTTTTCTTTTATTGTTTTTTTTTTTGTAACCGGTTCTTATTGGATAGCCCAGGTTAGCCTCAGACTCTCAAGAGACTCACCTGCTGGATTAAAGTCATTAAAGGATTAAAGACAAGCAAGTGCCCACCCCACCCCACCCAGTCCTCCTTTCTTAATATTCCCCCAAACAGCCACTGTTCTTTCAGAAACTTGAACTCTTTAGTGACTACCATTCCATCCCAATTGCTTAATGTGGTATGACTCCTCCAAATGTACCTCCCCCTACTTATCCCTTGTCCAACCTAACAGGGACTCCTTTTTAGCTGTTAGTACATATTATAAATACTCCCCACCATTCTGTGAATTTTTAGAACATTTTCCTCCTATGCCCTTTTGAGACAAGGTCTCATTTAGAAGCTCAGGGTGCCTAGAATTCATGACCTGAGTGGTAGCTGTACCAGCATGTGCCCTTGATCCTGACCTTCCTTCCCTTGAGCATCTGCCTAGTGTCTGTTTGGTTTTTTTTTAATATATATATATACATATATATATATATATTTTTTTTTCCCCCCGAGACAGGGTTTCTCTGTATTGTTTTGGAGGCTGTCCTGGAACTCTCTCTGTAGACCAGGCTGGCCTTGAACTCACAGAGATCAGCCTGCCTCTGCCTCCAGAGTGCTGGGATTAAAGGCGTGCACCACCAACGCCCGGCTCTCTATATTTTTTATTTAAATGAGAAGCAAGCTTGCTTCACATGTCAATCCCAGCCCCCTCCCCCACTCCTCCTCCCTTGCTTCTCCTCCAGTCCCTCCAAACCCCCATCCAACCCCCCCACGCCATTCCCCAGGGAGAGTGATGCCCTCCATGGTGGATCTCCAGAGTCTGTCATTTCATCCAGGGCAGGACCTAGGCCCTCCCCCCATGTGTCCAGGCTAAGAGAGCACCCCGTTTGTTTGTTTTTATTTTGTTTTGTTTTCCTTTGATTTGAGACAAGGTCTCACCATGTCTGGAACTCACAGAGATCTTGCTGCCTCTGTCTCTCAAATGCTGGGATTAAACATGTTTGCTACCATGGCAAGTTGCGTAATGTTTTAATATGTGCTTCCTTTTGTCTCTGTGGTGCCAAGGGTTGAAATTAATCATATGTTTAATGACACTGTGGAAAATGAATCAATGAAGTGCTGGCAGCAACAGGGCCGTTTGGGCAGTGATTGAGTGTGACAGGCTTGGGGTAGCAAGGTGGGTAGAAGGACTGCTGTTCAGCCACCCTTCCTCAGCATGCCCTGCAGGCTTGAGATTTCCCCAAAGTTATGAAAATACTTAGAAAATGACAGCAATGGCAACAACATGGTAGGCACCTGTACTTCCAGAAGTTGAGAGGTTGAGACAGGAGGATCTCAGTGATTTAGAGGCTATCCTGATTTAGAGGCTATCCAGGCCAGCATGGACAGAATCCATAAGAGTAAATGAGCAAGGGCTGGGGAGATGGCCCCATGGGATCCCCGGAATAAATGTTGAGTGGGCATAGCCGCCCTCCTAGAATTTCAGCCTGGGAAGGCAGAGACAAGCTACCTAGCAATACTAGCTGTTTCTGTCCGATCTGGGTTTGATTGAGACACTCTGCCTCCATGAGTAAGATGGAATAGCAGAGGAAAATAATTCTGAGCATCAACCTTGGGCCTCCATAGGTGTGCACACACATGCAAGAGTACCCATACACATGTGAAAACTGCATGTGCACACCATGAGAAATATGGGAAAAATGAGTGTTAACTGCTTTGGAAAGATGGTGTCTCAAGTTGAAATGCCAATTCTGTCACTTGTCTTTATTGCTTAGGGGTGTCCCTGCCTCCTCATTCGGGCACTCATCCATCAGTCTTCATGCTTTGTTGTAACATGAAGATGGTATGTTAGATGCACTAATGTACATATCTGTAATCCCAGCACTCAGGAAACAGGCAAGCAGGTCACTGAGTTCGAGGCCAGCCTGATCTACAGAGTGAGTTCCCAGATAGCCAGTGCTACACAGAGAAACCATTTCAGAAAAAAACCAAAACAACAACAAAAATAGCAAAGATGCACCTCAGGATTGACAGGTCCTGTTGAAACTTATTTCCTGTCCCAAAGTGTGAGCTCTCCATTCCTTTCTGCTAGTCACTCCCCCGCACCACCACCACTTTGGGAGTTTACACCAGCCAGTCTGTCCAAGAACCACCTTACACACAGTACTAGTTCCTGCTCTTGAGCAACGCAAGGAGACACATCCCAGAAACCTCCTTTGCAATAGCTTTCACCTTTTCCCCAGTCCCTCACAGGTTCTGGCCCTCCTCCCTAATCCCTCGCAGTACATCAGCACTTACATCACACATCAGTTCTTCCAAGCCTTTAAAAATTTGCTTCCAAGCCTCTAAAAGTTGGTGGCGCACGCCCGGTGCATATTATATTATTTATATGTCCTGTGTATGTGCCTTGAGTTCCTGATTCTCCT